CAAGTTCCTGCTCCTCTTGGCCTGGGCCTGAGCTGCGGCCTGTTTCCATTATCTCTGTCGTGTTTTCTCTTGGTTTCGCTCTTGTTCTTCCCTCTCGCTCTTGTGTCTTCCGTTCTCTTCCTGTCCGTTTCTCTCTCCCCCGCTTCGTCTTGTCTATGTCTTTCTGGTTTGTTTATTCGTGTTCTTTTCTTCTCGCCTCTTGTTCGTTTCGTCTTCTTGCTCCCCTCATGTGTTCTTGTCCGCCGCTTCCGTTGCCTCGTTCTCGCCACCGTTGTGGCCCCTTTTTCCGCGCGCTGCCTGCGCTTGGTCTGCACTTTCACGACTTCTTAAACGGCGCGCAGCTGCTTGCGTCGCTCGCGATCCAAAAAAAGGATCCCCACCAAATTCAGCCCTCGACTGCCTGCGACACCGCTCAGTCCCCCGCGATGGGTGGTTCCCATTCTGGTTCCAGGAGCCTGGTGAGGCACCCGGGCGTTCAGGTGACGTGCCCTTTTGACCAGTCTTGGCTAGTGTGCTTGCACTTCCCTGGCTTCTGGTCTACAGACATCGCCACAGCCTGGCCGTGTCTGCCGTTGCCGCCGGCTTGGCGGGACGCTACCTTATTGGTTGATTCAGGAGTGGTACAGCCTTCTGGGTCTGTCATGTTTGTTCGTTTCGCAGGCCTGCTGCTTGCACGTTGGATTGATTGCATCCCCACGCTTCGCCACGCTGGTGGCGAGTTACATCTGGCGCCTGGTGCGACAAGGTTAAATTCATTTCCTGGTGGTCTTGCCCTTGAGATTCCCGCACGTTTGTCTGGCTCTCCTGGCAGTTCCTGCAGCTTCCGCCCTCGGCGCAGCTCAGCGTCCTTCGGCGGCAGTTCTGCAGCCGCCTGTGCGCGCGCTAGGTTTAATTCGTTTGCTCGTTACCCGAACCGACTACTGACGCCGCTGTGCGCCTTCGCCTGCGGCTGCGACGGAAAAAAATCCCCACCAACCCATCCAGAAACGATGCCCATGAGAGTTGACAGGAGAGAGGGGAAGAGACACGCATACTCAAACAGCGAGGGAGGTTCCGGAGGCTCCGTGGCCATCTCGAGCCGTCTTGGAGCGGCTTCGGTGCCGCTTGAAGCATCTTGGGAGCCACCTTGAGCCAGCTTGGGCTATCTGAGCCACCTTGGAAGTCATCTTGGGCTCTCTGAGGCCGCTCGGGGGCCTCTTGGGGGCCTCCCGGGTGCCTCTTGGAGCCCTCTCGGGGCGTTATTGGGGCCATACTTGGGGGCCTCTTGCGAGGCGTGCGGCTCACATTCCAACCAGAGCGGCAACTTTACAACCAGATGGGGCACTTTACAACCAAAATGGGTTTTCCCACAAGGGCACGTTACAACCAGGAAGGCCACTTTACAACCAGGCAAGTAAACGTACATAAGCGACAAATATTTTACAATCTCTGAAATACCCGTAGGTCCACGTAAGGGGGACAACGCGCTCTCTGAAGCGTGTTGGTTGTAAAGTAACTCGTGTGAAGCGAGAATATGTGAAGCGGCGGATTCCTAGTGGGATCCAGAAGAAATCGGTTGGAATATAGTGACACTCTTCCCACTGGGATCCTGTTGGCACCGGATGAATCCCATTGGTATCCAACAAGATTCTTCGCAATGGGGCCTACGGGTGTCCTATTGAAACCTTCCGGGGCCTTTCCTAATGGAAACCGGATGGGAAGACCACTGGATCACAATCGAGGAATTTTCCCATTGGAATGTTGCGGGAAGCGCACTGGGGTATTATATGGAAACCCGGGGGGGGTTATTTTGGGGTTCTCGTTCGAAAAAAAAGGAATCGTTTTTTTTGGAACCCCATCGAAACCAAACTGGCGAATACGAGGGACATCGCACTGGATTTCAATCGGGCTCCTTCGTGTTCGATCCACACGGGCATAGTATAATCCAATCACGGCCCAACTGTAACCCAACAAGAAATTGTCCCCGTTAGATCATACTGTACCCCGACTGGTGTCATATTGTTATCCTTGTGGTATCCAAAAGAGCTATTGGAACCCAGTTGGGATCCAATCGGGATTCTCCCGATACAGGCTGGTGACAGGCCTTGGTTGTTGACGCCTTGTTTTTACATCTATGCCCTGAATCTACATCGCTTTGTTGTAGCCTCAGAACCTCTGCCTCAAAGATTGCTTCTTTGGGCAATAGAACGTTCGCCGCAAACGACGCAGAGGAACACGCGCGCCCCCAGGAGAGCTGAAATGTCGCCAAGAAATCGTTGGTCAAATTCTGGCCAATGCATGTGGATTGCAAGAAGTGGTTTTGCCACATAGACATGTTTTGCCCTCGCGTCTCATCGTCTGGAAAAAAACACAACCGTATGATTTCGCATGTGCGGAAGCATGCGTACCCAAGAAGCTGGACATGTGCCCAAGAAATCGCTGGTATATTTCTAGCCAATACGTGTAAGTGTCAAACGTGGGCATTACGGAAGCATGCGAACCCAGGAGGGCGGAAATGTGCACAAGACATCGTTTATTCAATTCTAGCCTATGCATACGGATTTCAACTTGCATGTTTGGCCCTGCTGACATGTTTTGCCCTCGCGCCTCATCGGGTGGCAATAGCAAAGCCTGTCGCGTGCAACTTCGCGGAAGCATGCGTACCCAGGAGGGCGGACATGCGTCCAGGAAATTTGTGGCGAATTTCTTCTTAGAGGCCCTCCAAAAGCCCCGGAGAGCAGCAACCTGGCAGTAGCTGCCTTAAAACAGCCCCCCTCCTCCGCCCCCTCCTCATCCTTATCCTCAGAGACCTCTGCAGATCATTCAAGCGCCCAGGAGCCTCAGAAGCATCTGCAGGGCGCTCAGGCGCTCAGAACCTCAGAAGCCTCCGCAGAGCGCTCAGGCGCTCAGGAGCCTCTGCAGAACGCTCAGGCGCTAAGAAGCCACAGAAGCGCCTGCAGGGCGCTCAGCCGTTCAGAAGCCTTTGCAAAGCGCCCTGGCGCTCAGAAGCCTCTGCAGAACGCTCAGGCGCTCAGAAGCCTTCGCAGAGCGCTCAGGCAGGCGTTCAGGAGCCTTAGAAGCCTCTGCAAAGCGCTCGCGCGCTTCTGAAGGCTGGTTGTAAAGTGGCCGTTCAGGTTGCAAAGAGCCCCGTCTGGGTTGTAACAAGTTTTCGTTTTGGTTGTAAAGTGGGCTGTTATGGTTGTAGAGCGGTCGTTCTCACAGGCAAACCATAGAATTCTATCCTTTGCTGGTTGTAAAGTGACCCATCTCGGGTTGTAAAGAGACCGAATCTCCTCGTGGGAGCCCTGGAGCGCCTCTTGGGGCCATCTTGGAGGCGGTCGGTCCAAAGAGGGGGGGGTCCTCGATGCGTGGCCCACATGAGGGGTATCAAGAATTAGCCCTCCGAGGGGCTGAAAAAGGACCCTCTGACACATCGGTCCCCCTCCAACCAAAAAAAATCGGTGGAGAGGGGGAGGGTTCCCATCCCCGAAGGGAAGAGGGGTTGTGGAAGAGGAAAGAGACCCTCCTTGGACCACCTACCTGTCGCCCAAAAGGGCTGGTGGGATTGCTCGGAGGCCCGCGAAGGATTTCAGAGAACATTTAATTTTTACGTGTGCCGTTCTCTGTCCCTCTATTGGTGGGGCAATTCGGTCAGGCGATCGCAAACATGGATCAAGGGGGCGTGGATTAGCGACGGGTCCCGTTTCCATAGGAAACAGCGGATTTCCGCCGCCGAACGAGGCGGCACCGGCCGCATTTTGGGGAGGACACCTCTCCCGATCCATGGATTTGGCGAACACGCGTCAAATCCATGGATCGCGAATCCATGTTTGCGCGACCTCGATTGAGCTCATGTAGGCCGATTGCGCTGGCCGCCAGCGCAATAAAGCATCAGATTGGCGGACTGCGATGACCAGTGACGCCATAAACATGCAGATGTCCAAGCCGACTGCGCCAGGGGGAATAGGGGCGCATTACATTCCCCAGCCCAAGCTCCCACAGAACCCACGCTCGTCATACACACAGACATCCGTTCCCGCAAAGCCAGGGCAAGTGCAGAGGGCCGACACCGAATGAGACGCTGAAGCGAATAGGATGCGTTCCAATGTCGAACGCATTGTTGCATCCCCTTCGCCAGCTCCATGTTCATTGCCCTGCCTAGGCCGAGGACCTCTGCGCTTACGGGCACACGCTGCTGCCTGCTGGAAATTGCAGACGGTCCCCCGCCGCGGAGACACGCACGCAAGAGGATCATCATCGGAGTAATAGCAGCAGTGCGCTCCGCTCTTTTTCCGGTTGTTGCTCTCGCCGTCCTTCTCCTCCACCTCATCCCCTTCACCAACACCAGCATCATCACCATCACCATCCGCTCCGCCTCAACCCCTTACAGTGCCGTTTTTGATACATGCTCCGCGTGCGGATCATGTATTCAAAATGTAGGGCAAAGTATTAAAAAAAACAGCGATGAGCTCATGCATAAACTTATTCATAGATTGATCATGTATCAAAATCCTATATTTCAGATAATCCCATATGTATTGAAAATTGCCCTGTACGCTGGTGTGCACGGGGACTCGGGTCGACCATGGACGCGCACAGCAACGGAGGAGCGCCAGCGTAGCGTTGACACGGGGCGACGCGCAGCAGGTCGAGGCAGCCCACGGGCCCACGTCTTGTGCGCAGCGCAGTGTCCCGTTGCTTGCCGGCTGGCTGCCCGTCCCTGCGCCGTGCGTACCGTCGGGGCGCTGAAGACGGAGCCCTCTTTTTGGGGGGAGGGGATCGGTGCTCCTTGATTGTGGTGCAGTTTGCCGCAGGTTTCCCTGAGGTTTCCCATGGGAAATCGGAGTTTAACTCGTGGGGGAATGGGGCCTCGTTCCTTATTTGGGGTTCCTTAGGTCAGCGCCCCGACTGTATACACAGACACATACAACCGTAATCACCCGTTCTGGCTCAAGCCTTGATTGCTCTCGCACATCCGTACCCCGCACCCTGCCGCGCGGCTGCTGCCCGCCCCACGAACAATGGCCCCCGTCCGCGCCGCCCTCGCGGCCGTGGCCGCGCTGGCGCCGCGCGCCGGCGCCGTGTCCCTGCGGGGCGTGGAGGACCCTCCCCTCGCTGCGAGCAAAATCACGACGACGGGTTGTCAGGAGGGGAAGAAACACACAGACACAATTAATCGTCGATTCCCAGGAAAATATGCAAACATATGGGAAGTGGTGGGGAAGACAAAAACTCAGAAAATATGGGAAAATATGGGGGATATTTTTATTTGTGTGTATTTATTTGTGTGTTCCAGTTTCCCTTCAGGGTTGTCGCATGCACGTGTTCGTCAGTGCTCGGCGGTGTTGCTGCCTCGGGATGCGCTCCAGCAGCTGCCCCGCGCCGAGGGCGTTCCGGGGGGCGCCCCGGAGCTCTGCGAGCGGCCACCTGGGGGGCCAGAGGTCTGGCCCGAAGGCCAGATTACCTCTCGTGGCTAAAATATGGCGACGGGAGGTTTGGGGTCATGTTGTGATCGTTTTCTGATTCCTTGTCTAGCCGATCGGCGCGGGCCCTCGCAACCGCCCTTCCCTCCCCCCCCACCTGGAGTTGGTCTTGGCTGGTTGCTGCGCCTGTTTCAGGCAGGTGGAGTCTCCCCTGCAGGACGCACTGTTGCAAAGAATCGCGTAGCCAGAACCTCCCTCCCCTCCCCCCTCTGCCGCCCAATGTCTAAACGCCGAATAAGATAACGCTCACGTTCTGCTCCAAGTGGCCCTCGCGAGAGGGAGCACTGCGCAAGGGTGACCTGTGCCAAGAAGCGATTCGGGATGCAAATCTGGTCCCAGGAAAGGTGTGCAGATCTTCCGGGGGCTACATTGCAGGCTGGTTTACGTTATAGACTTTGGCAAGTTTACTTGACTGGGGGTGGGGGGTGCGGTGTGAGATCCTACAGGTACTCTGGACAGCACTCAAGTCGGGACTCTCCAGTAAGCCTTTTCGGCCCAGCGGCGTTTGAAAAGTTGGCGCAGGGGGACGGGCGGATGGAGTGGGGGGTGGGTGGACTGCCATTCAAGTAATTCTGCCGAGTCTGATATGAAAAAGCCACCCCGACCCCGACAATCGGCGTGTACGAAACGGCCTTGGGCGCTTGCTAAGCAGCCCTGCCCTGCACGATCATTTCCCTACTTGCGTGTACTGGACGGCTTCGCTCGTCATGGTTCTTATCCTAAGTCGGGCCTGTCCCTCTACAGGGGGAATATTCAAAATTGTCAAAAAATAGTCTGGGGACGACTTTTGAGTGTTTTCTGCATTTGGGAGAATGCTTAGACTATTTCTCATTCTTCTTCCAGAATCCCCCTGTAGGGGGACAGGCCCGACCTAATTCTTATCAGGGTTTTTTTGTTCTGCCCTCCAGTCCGTTCTGAGTTCTCGGGAGGCCGGCAGCCTGTCGCTGCCGCTGCAGCTGGAGTCGGGGCACGTGCCCCTCTTCGTGAAGTGGGAGGAATCGGCATCGTTTAACCAATCCCCATCCCCATCCCCATGCCCTTCGAGACCCCCACCAGATTACCACCCTAGTTTCGGGGAGACGGAAGACTCGAGTAAGCCGGAACTCAGGTTAGTCGACGTTTTTTGACGAGCGCGTCCTGGGCTTTGACGATCCAGTTTTCGTGGGATGTTTGCAGCGGGAGCTCGCGTCAAATTTCAGATTGGGCCGCGTCATTTTTATGATGGCCCCGTCAGGCCAACCCGAGTCCCCCGTACCCGAGTCTTGCGGCTCCCCGATAGTTGGGGATGCACCCCTCGAAACCCGAAGGGAACGGCCTATATCCACATCTAGGCGGGCAACTCGGCCAGTGGGGCCCAGGTCACGCCGCTGGGGACGGGGATTGGTTGAACGATGCTCAAGGACTACCTCGGGGAGGACCTGAGCAACGTGAATTTCGTGCAGGTGGCTACGTTGGCATTCTCGGGGGCCTCGCCCGTCCCAAACATTGTTGTCGTTTCTCGCGCCCGACGCGGGCTCGATGTGGACTCGACGCGGATTTGGCGCGGGGTCGACGCGGAGTCGGCACGGATTCGACATGGGTCCGAGGAGTGCGGCATGAATGGGACGCGGATTGGGCCGCGACGGGACAGACAAGGTCCCCCGAGGATGCAACATCAAGGTGGGCGGTAATTGTGGTACCAATTTGCCCGAGTGTGCCGTAGGTGGCGACCCTATTTGGGAGTACGCCACGCGCTTCGCCTGGAACGGCATCGTGATCGAGCCAGTGCCGCGCATATTCGAAAAGCTCAGTGAGAACTACAAGCCGTTCCCAAGCATCAAGCCAGTGCACTGTCTGGTGAGCGACCACTCGGGAGCGGGCAAGATCATCGACCACTCCGAGATTTCTCACGAGATCAGCCTCTCGCGCAGGAACGGGGTGGAGGTGGAGACCTTTACCCTGGTGGACCTGTGGAAGAAGAAGTTCGGCAGCAACGAAAAGAAGGTCGACATCCTGGTCGTCGACGCTGAGGGCAACGAGCCGAAGATCCTTGGTGGCCCGATCCCGGAGCCGCGCCCCCGCTTCGTGCTGTTCGAGATCTCCAGCCTCAAGGCCGAGGAGCTCAAGTCCATCGACGACAACCTCCACGGCCACGGCTACGAGCTCGTGGAGCAGCTGAAGCACCAGGACCCCCTCGGCAAGAACATGCCGCCGCAGGACGCCCTGTACAGGCTGCTTCAGTGAGGCGGGCGGGCCATGCCGCCACCGCGCACGAGGAGTCCGCGAGGGTGCAGTGGAAAGCCATGCCAAGAAACACCCCGCTTGCCTCCAGGGTGCCAAGGGTTTCTTTGGTTTCGATGGTTTTGCGATGGACAGCGTGACGTTCCCAGACCAAGCATCAATGGACGTCCTGGGTTCTCAGGGGTAGGTTTCTCGTGGAAGGTTTCTTGTGGTCCAGCTCCTACTGTAACCTTGCTGTCCCTTCATGCACCAGTCGGACGGGTCCAAGACAAGGATGAATTCGTTCAGAGTGTTCCGGAACGCTCTCTCAAAGCGTTCGGGAACGCTCAGAGAAAGCCGTTGCGCCCGAGACACACATTCCAGAGCCGCCGGGTCTAAGAGTTTCCCGATGTGTCCTCACCCGATGTTTTCCTCGTCCTGGCCCCGTCTTAACAAGAGGCCCACCAACCGTGCGTCAGAGCAGAAAAAGGGTACCGCTGCCGCTACCCTGCCCTCGTATTCGCCTCCGTGAGCAGGCTGGGAGGCCATCGTCGCAACGGCTGGATGTGCTGCGAAATCCCGGTCAGAACGCACCCTGGGAGAGGTCCAGGGAGTATCGGTATCGGTACGTTTTGGTTCGCCCAGTGCGGGGGTTGGCGCAGGATGGGGGGTTCTTGTTGTTCCGATTGTTCCGAGCAGTATCTTCTTCATCATGCTCATCATCATCATCATCATCATCATCATCATCATCATCATCATCAGCAGCAGCAGCATTATCAGCATCAGTATCATCATCAGCAGCATCATCAGCATCATCATGATGATCATCACCATCATAATAATAATCAGCATCGTTATCATCATCATCATCATCATCATCATCATCATCATCGTCATCGTCATCGTCATCGTCATCTTCATGACCATCATCATCATCATCATCATCACCACCATACTCAGCATAAGCATCACCATCATCACCATCATCCTCATCCTCATCATCACTACCATTACCATCAGCATCAGAATAATCATCAGCATCACCATCATCATCATCATCATCATCATCATCATCATCATCATCACAAGCAGCATCATCATCATAATGATCATCAGCATCATCACCACCATCCTCATCATAATATCATCGTCGCCCTCCTCATTATCACCCTCACGATCTCCTTCATCCTCATCTAGCTGTCGTGCTGCAATGCGACCCCCCGTGCTGAACACTGGCCGTTGATGCTCGAAAGTGGATTTACAGTTTTCCTTCGTTGGTTTGGTGATCCGTGGTGCGGGCTCCAGCGTCCATCCCACCAGGTCCGCCTCGCCGATAGTGTTTTGACAACTCCGCTATCATTCGACTTGGTTCTCTGGCCCCGATTGTGACCCCACAGAGCGCTGCGACATAAGTTTCGACGCATCTTCGTCACGCTCGCGGGTCGAATTCACTATCGCATGCTCGTTCCAGCGACTGTAAGTTTTTGGACGGAAGCCAGCACGTCTGAACGGCCATGGATCGGGCATGAAGGTTGCAGGAGGAATTGATTTTGAAGTACGGATCTCCTTGCAAATGGGATTATGGTGTGCTATTGCGTGTTGTAGCTCTTGCTTGAGTTCCACATTCTGAAACGCCGCTGTGTAAGGTGCCCGCCGAGGTCCTGACCAAAGTCTCGGAGCTAGTGGACGGCGGGAAGCGAGTGTTCCGGTGGCTGAGCAGGGAGGATTTGGAGACAGAGGTGTTGTGTCCAAGGCGGGCTGGGGGTATCGCGAGAATGTTCTTGTAGATTAGGATGTTCGCGGCGACATGTGTATTTTGACGACGACGGTGATGGCAATACTGATTCAGTTCCATTGGCGGTGCGTTGGCGTCACAATAGAGTGATGCAGGCGCAGTCCTTGATACAGGCGAGCTAACAGCATACCAGAAGCGAAGACTTGGGGAACAGGGATGATGGAGCAGGGAGGAGGAAGCGAGGGGAGAGGTAGCAATGGGGGAGGATGGATGCGGAAGCATCTGAGGAGGCGCAGGGAGGATGAGCACGCAGGGACTGGGAGGGGGAGCAGGACGCAACGGCGGGGTGAGAAAAAGAATACGGAGGAGGTGGGAGGCCGAGGAGGAGGAGCAGGTTGAGGAGGGGGGGGAGGAGGAGGAGGAGGAGGAGGAGGAGGAGGAGGAGGAGGAGGAGGAGGAGGCGCGGGAGCAGGAGCGGATGAGGCTGGAGGCGGAGGCGTGGGACTGGGATCGAGCCCTTCCCCGGAGGCTCCACACTGCGAGCTTCGCCCAGCAGATCGAGGAGCTGCCAGACGACCCCTGGACCCTCGCGGGGCTGGGGCACCAGCTGCGCCCATGTCGCGCTCGTCCGCTCACCGTCCTCACCCATCCCCCCCCGCTTCCTCTTCCCCCTTCTCCTCCTCATTCCCCCTCCCGCCAGCGCAGGGGCCCATCCATACGTTTCGCCGGGAGACCTCGAGGGCTTCCGATGCCGAGCCTCTGGTCGGACTGGGACTCCTCCCTCCAGGCGCCTTGGGTGCCTTACCTTACCTCCCCCCCTTCCGTGGTCGCGCACCGATGGAACGAGCAGCTTGCCATGCCTCGCCCGCCGCGCCGTGCGCCGATGGAGCGAGCAGCTTGCCCTGCCTCGCCCGCCGCTGCTGCGGCCCCCGCGGGCGCGCCCACCCCGCACGACCGCCGCCGCGGGAGCCGGGCGGAGCGATTGAGGAGGAGGGGAAGGGGGAGGAGGGATCGAGGCTCCTTCCCCCCCTCCTCCTCCTCCACCTCCTCCCCCCTCCTCCTCCCCCCCCTCCTCCTCCTCCTCCTCCTCCTCCTCCTCCTCCTCCTCCTCCTCCTCCCCCTCCTCCTCCTCCTCCTCCTCCTCCTCCTCCTCCTCCTCCTCCTCCTCCTCTTCGAAGAGGAGGAGGGGGAGGAGGGGGGAGGAGGGATCGGAGCTCCCTCTTGCGCTCGCCTCCCCGCCGCGGACGCGCAGTCGCCCATCTTGGGCGCAGAGGCGCCTGCCCGCTCGGTGCACGCCGTTCGGGGGCGGTACCCGCGGGGTCGCGGACGTGCAGCGCGGGCGAGCCGGAAGTAGCCAGAGCGCCGTGCGGCGGCGCATCGGTGCACCCGCCGCCGCGCGGCAGCGTGGCAGGGCGGCGGCGATCTTGCGCACCTCGCCGCGCAGTGTCAACCAGCGGCCGAAAGGCGCAGGCTCGTCAGTTGCAGCCCCGGGCACCGGCGGCCGCGCGCGGCGCTCTGCCCGGCCGGTCGAAAGGCTGCTCAGCGACGCGGGAAGGGCCAGACATGGGGGCCACCGGGCTGAGTGGGCCTGGCCTCGAAGGGCGGGGCCTCGGTGGGAGGAGACCCGGTCGTCCCAGCCCCCGTGGGGCCCCGGTGGGCCCTCAGCAGCCAACTCTCGCGGGTGGGGCTGGGCCCCGGGTGGCCCGAAGGGGTGGGTCGGCCAGTTGGGCCACCAGCCACGCCAGTGTGGATCAGGATCGGATGTTCATTGGTTCTTTTGTTGACTGGCAGCGCGTGCGTGCCAGCTTTCCGCGCGGACCCACGGCGTGAGCTGCGGCGGCTGCTCAGGCAGCGCGACGCTGCACGGGTAACAACGAAGGAGCCGCGTGGGCTTCGACGACTCGTCGCTCCAGGGCACCAGCCGCGGGGCTCCGTGGAACAACGACGAGGAGGCGAAGAGCGCCAGGGTGGCGGCGGCTGGCGTCGTGGAGGAGGTCCTGAAGACGGGGCAGGAGGCCTGGAGGCTGGCCGCCACCGTGCGGGCGCTGGCGGACGAGGATGGATTGCGGCGGTCGGCGGCCAGAGAGCCCTTTCCTCGACGTCCTTTGGGCCCTCCCCCCATCCTGGGTCCCCCTCGCTGGACGGGTCTTCGGATCCTTCGAGCTCCTCCTTGGGGGGGCCAGGCTTTGGGGAGCGACGGAGATTGGCGTAGCGTGGACAGTGTTGTGGGTAGTAGTAGTAGTAGTAGTAGTAGTAGTAGTAGTAGTAGTAGTAGTAGTAGTAGTAGTAGTAGTAGTCGTAGTCGTAGTAGTAGTAGTA